TCTTCTTGAGGGACAGGACATCACTTATTTAATGCACACAAAACTGTTAGAACATATGTTTCCTATAACATAATTATACTGGAAAATAGTATTATTTATGTTCAGATTTATTTGAAGCTACAATTTAGGAAAACATGGATGTATCCAATTTTTACAAAAACATAGTCGAATCTTTAGCAGAACAGACTCTACATGTATAAGAAGAAGAAAATGATCATTTGTTACATAAGATTTTAAATGAACGAATTGTGTTTCTTGCACCAAGAGCTAGCATGCATCAATGCTTGTTGAGAGAGTGTTTCGCTGAGAGTTATGTGACGATTGATGATGATGATGTCAAACTGCAAACAACAGAAATAAATGTTAACTTTCTTGCAATAATTAAAGATGAAGAAGATAAAAAGCCAACAAAGGATGTGAAATCTGGAAAAATTTAGATGCAATGGAAAGCTGATAATAGTAACGAGGAATGAAATCATAATGAATATTTGCAAGGAAAAACTAATTAAGTACCTATTCCAGAATATCTTTCCAGTAGGAGCTGTAGTTGTCATCATCGATCAGCTTCTCCCAGCCCTCAAAAACAGTGTAGGTAGGCGTGCCAGTGGAGTAGTTTGATGGGTTACCCTTGCTTTCTTTTTGGTTAACAATGGAAGTTCCAGGGGAGGTTGAGGCTGAAACCAATGCAGGAAGTGGATTTTGATCTGTTTGAGTACCATAGGAACTGCTCAAGCTGTTATTGTTGATGTTAAGGCCTTCAGGGCCAAATCCACCTTCATAGCTAGCCCATAAATTCGAGATAGCTTGGAAGTCATTGGGTGGTGCTTGAGGGGTAGCAAGTGGGTTAAAGAGATCCTGAGATACTGGGTTAAATGGTTCCTTGGTATTGGAGATGGTTGCCCAATTGCCCAGTCCTTCAAACAGGTTAGGATTTTGGGATCCTAAGAGATTGTTGTTCTCAAGATTGGTCAGTGTGTTGGTATTCATAATCTGTAACAGATTTCGCAACAACTGGATATTGGCTAACTGAGTGGCATCTGCCTGTAACTGTAGAAAATTGTCCAATGGATCTGCCGTATTGCCAAACTGTGCTGCCCCAAGAAACTGAGAGAGATTCAAGAAATGATCTAGATCAGTCCTTGGCTTGTGAGTGTTTGGGTCAATCCCCATTTGAAGAAGCTTCTTTCTTATGTGAGTATTCCAAAAGTTTTTTATTTCATTGTCAGTCCGTCCGGGAAGATGGCTAGCAATCCTTGACCACCTGCAAGTTCAAGTAAATGGGAAAGATTAAAAACCATTTTAAGGACAGATATTGACATCACAAATATGTAAGCTAGCTGAAAAGGTAAAGGGAAGAACAGCATACTTGTTTCCAAGAACAGAATGAAGGTTGACGATGACTCGTTCTTCTTCCTCTGAAAATTTTCCTCTCTTGATATCAGGCCTCAGATAATTTGTCCACCTCAATCTGCAGCTCTTCCCACACCTATTCAACCCTGCAAGCTTAGGGAGTGCTTTCCAGTTTTCATGACCATTCCTCTTAATATAATCAACTAGCTTCTCATCCTCCTCCGGCGTCCATGGCCCTTTCTTGAAGTCACTGCCATGGCTACGAGGAGATCTAACCATTCTGTCAAGTTTAACAGAACCAAAGCAAGACGGGAGAGGTTTTGGACAGAAACGTCGACTTGAAATGTCTTGAGGTATCAGACAAGGCGCTACGACTTTAGTTCTTTCTTGTTTTTTTTTTATCAGACATGCTGCATATAAATAGTTGCACGAGAGACGTAATTGAAATGATAAAGGTCGTCTTCGTTCTTTTATTAGTATGATATTCTTAAAAAGCTTCCAAAATCAAGGCAATTAGGGGAAGGTCGATATCATAATAACATCTAGGTGTTTTTCAAGAAGAGGGAAATCAACAGGCAACTACTAAAATCATCAAGATTAGGTAGCGCAAATGTCATGTAGAAAAAGGGAGCAATATGTGTATGAATTTCAGAAAGGGGTCCCATCAAATTTCTCCTCAATTTATATCGATGATCCTTTGTATGATGATTATGTGATTCTTTCTCATCCAATATTTTATAAAAACGCGAAGGTACTAGCTCCTGAATTCAGCTTTGATGGCTGACAAGTTATAATTGTTGGCCACTGAATTTGAAATATTTCTCGAAAACTTCAATTACAATAGATCGGACTAGAAGACAATTGCTATTGTGATTTGTTTGGCGCATTTGTATTATTGAAAAAAATGATGAATACAACATCAACTCTCAGTGATTTTAACTCAATGATGTGCGATTCCGTCAGTGATTTTAACTCAATGATGTGCGATTACGAACGTCCCTCCCGTTTTCAAAAATCAATTGAGGGGAAATTAAAAAAAGAGAGAGGAGAATGAATCATTAGATCATGAGATGTCTTTGGAAACGAACTATTTAACTACCTATCCTATACTATTCATTCCCTTTCAGTCTAAATGAAAAATTCTTTTTATTCATTACAGTTTTACGGGTTTTCTGTGAGCTTTAAAGGGTTTTTATTAAAACTCTACCCATCTTTCTTTCATTTTGGTTCTCGATTTTATAATGTTTGCCTTTGAGTAATCATACCTGATTTGGTTTATATTTTATTTCTTGGTAGTGGAGAGATAGAACAATTAAGGAGAGAAAAGAGTGGGAAGTGAAGTGGAGAGCATAGCCGCCATAACATGGCTGCTTATTAAAGTCTAGCTTTTTCTGGCATTTGTTTTACATAAATTATTGTTCTGTTACTGTTTTCAGGAGTGATAAAGAGGAGAGGATCAAGAAAGAGGCACGCAAGCTGAGTTTGAATTTGTGTTTGTTGTATTTGTGCTTTGTGTTTTGGAGTTTATTCTGTTCTATGGGGTGGATTGTTCTTGGGTTCATGCGAGTTTTCAATGCGTTGTTTGTCTCAATTTTAGATGAAATATATATGAGAATAATTTAACTATTTAATATTTAATCTGATTTGATTTTTTTTTTATTTTTTAAATCAATGAAAACAAAAAATAAAAAAAATTATAGAAAAATCAATGTGATTAACTGTAAATATTTTGAAGTTTAAAATTAATCTGAAGGTTAGGATGCTTTTTTGGAGGTAATTTTTTATGGAAAGATATAACCATTAACCTTAAAAATAATTTTTTTTATTTTTAAAAATTATCAAAATAATCTTTTTTCAAATAAAATGATTAAATTAATAATTTTTTTAAATCTAATATTATCATACTTAAGATTAGAGTTTTTATGCTAATATTAATAATTATCTTATGAATAATAATATATAAAAGTAATGTGCTTATTAATTTTAAAAATCTAATCATTTCATACTTCTATTAGATTTTTTATTTTAACTTTAATAATAATTTTATAAATAAAAATATATAAAATTAATGTGCCAATTTTTTTAAAAATATTTTTTCCAATGAATAATAAAAAAATATTTTTTATATTTTTATTTTTTGTACAATTTCTAAAGTATAGTTATTATTTATTTTTGTCATACAATCTTGAAAATATCGATAAGGCATCTTTGTTTTTTTTTTTTATTGAAGATCAATCTTATTTTTTTTTCAAAAAAAATCAAAGAATAAAGAAAAATAAAGTATGGTTTTTTAAAACACGTAAATTCATAAACAACGGCAAGAAAACATTAATTAAATGGCAAAGTTTTTACAAAAACTATAAATATAAATGAAAAATTTCCCCTTCAATTAAAAATAATATTTTAGCAAAACATCAAATTAATAAACTAAAAGTTGAGAAAGATTTGATTATTTAAGCTATTTATATCATGGAGAACACACACACACACATTCATTCAAATTTGCCGGTGATAGTCAACCCGTTGCATAATAATTTAATTCTTTGAATATGTAATGTTTAATTAAATATATTAGAGCTTTTTTTTCTTTGATCTTGAATTTAATAAAATAAAATGTGGAGAAAAATAGGATAGATGTATTATTAAATACAAGTATATCAAAGTTTAGTGTTAATAACAAGTATTTGACAATTATAATTTGTTAGAGTGAATATTACATAGAGAAAATAATTTTTAAAAAGTATATTATGAGTTGAGAAAAGGTTTTTATCAATTTTTTTAAAAAAAATATTTAAAAAAAATTCTTAACGCTATTGATTTTTTCATATACGATTTATCAATTCCATATACAACCCGTCACTTTCACTTTATTTGAGCATATCTTTGTTGACATTAGTTTTAGTTTGTTTAAACATTTACTAGGTTAGTTGAGAAAATTTTTTTCAGAAATTTTACTTTTTGATGGGTTGTGGTATCTAGTGGGCCAATAAGCTCATTACAATTATATAAAAAAAATATTAAAAAAAATTAGCTTTTAATTGTACCTGAAATTATTAATTTTTTAATATTTCTTATATTTTTAAATTTTTATATTTAAATCAAAATTTTATTTTTCTCATATTTTAGTCATTTATTTAAATTTAAATGTTAAGAGAGAAGAAAAAAGTCACCAGAAATAAAAGCAATGATTAATGATATAAAATTTATTTTTCTCTTATTTTTGTTTTGATTTTGAATTTATAGATTAATTAAATGGTGTTTTTAAATAAGGTTACTGATGTTCCTTTAATCTTCCAAGGTTAAAATAAGTAGAAATATGGTTTTTGGGGTTTAAATACCTTGATATCTAGAAGGAAAAATTGTTGCACTGTGAGGCATGTCGTCTATACAGACAGATAACGTGTCGTGCATTCATTAACAAGACATGGGCACAACACATTGTCACCCAATAGATAGACTCGACGGCTTTTTTTTTTTTTTTTAATAACATTATCGAACAGTTCTCCTCGGCAATGTACGGACAAAGGATTAGTTAATCGCTGAAACTACTAACTAGGATTCTTCAGATATTTAATTATTTTTTATGATGTCTTGATGTCGTCATCTCGTTGGTCAGCAAGTTTGTTCGTTTCCTCCTATTTTTTAACATGATTTGAAGCTTTATGTCCTCTCTCTAAATTATTAAAATATAATAACAATAATTAAAGAATGCATGCTTAGACTTTTACTGCCCTGGTAAGAAGTTCTGTGAGAGTATGCTGGTCGTGGATTTTTAAAATATTTTTATTTTTTAAAAATTATTTTTTATATAAATAGATTAAAATAATTTAAAAATATCTAAAATATATTAATTTAAAATAAAAAATAAAAAAATTTTCAAAAACATTTTCCGACAATGATGACAAACATTGCCTAAATTATAATGATGCCCCTGCTGGTCCATCATTTAACTATAAAAAAGAAAAATAGTGGGAGAAAAAAGCTTGGTTGATCAGCCGGCATTCGTTTACCAGCCAACAGAAATGGCAATGTTTTAACTTAAGAGAAGGGTGTTTTAATTGGAGTTTTCAAAAATTTTATTTATTTATTTTAAATTTATTTTTGTATGTTTAAAATTATTTAAAAAATAAAAAAATATTATTTTAATATATTTTAAATAAAAAACACATTAAAAACAACAAATCCTGAAGACCCTCGTTGGTTTCACCTACAAAGTTTTAGATTCGAATTCAAATTCAAGATATACACGTGTTCCACATAGTCCTATTTTAGGTACTTAAAGTAAAAACAAGTTGATGAACAAAACAATGGCTAAGGTATATAATTGGAAGATTTTACTTTGACAACAATATTGCTTCCATTAAGTTGGCTTTATTTAAGAAGTTTAGAGTACCACTACATCATAACAATAACAATAACAATAATAATAATAATAATAATAATAATAATAATAATAATTAGAAATAAATATCCAACAAAAAATTTGTATGCACATGCCTTTTCAACACGTTTGCATAGTTAAAAAAATTGCAAGTAAAAATAAATAAAAAAATTGTACATACATTTAATTAATAAATGAAAGAATAAAATATAAATAGTAATTAAAAATAAAGATTAAAAGATAAATATAAATATAAATATTTAATTTTACAATGAAAAATATTTATTTAGTTATGTTTGTTATATTTATTTATTAAAATATTTTTTTATTTAATTAAATAATAATAAAATATAAACACATTAATTAATTTAATAAAACAATAAAAAAAATTCAAGCTATTGACCCTAGCAAGTTAGGCAAACTCACTTGGCTCATTTTTTAAGAGCAAGCCATGACCATGGGACCTTTTTTTTTTTTCACTATATATGTCTCTAACATCAAATTATTTTTTTAATCAGATAATATGTTATCTAATGTTATCTAGATTATGAATATTGTGGTGATTAAAAAATTAAATTTTAACTTTTTTAATTTAAAACTCTATTTTCAATTTATTTTTAATTAAAAATAATTAAAAAATACTTTAGAAATAATGATAAACCTATACATGACCTTAACAAAAATCAAAAAGCCATCCAAAAAGCTGAATCAACTTGAAATAAAAAAATAAACTAGGCTTAGATTTGTTTTTTCAAGGACTTTCAAGAAAAAAAATGACTAATATGAAATTTTCTTATCAAATAGAATCATTTAACACATATATAAATTGTTTTGGTAGCTTAAATTAGTGTCAATAACATTTTTTCTCGAATTTATCGATCTCTTTTTATGCTTAAATTAGTGTCAATAACATTTTTTCTTGAATTTATCGATCTCTTTTTATCTAGGAATTAAAAAATAATAAAAATAAATTTTTATACCAAAATCAAATTTAAAAAATATTAAGGTATCAAAATTGTGTAATTTGTGTTATTTATAAAGTTTGGAACCAAAGAATATT